AATTTTTTTCCCTGAAATTTGCTGACTTTTTTTAATTATGTAGCGGTAGAAAGTTTTTCCGTATCTGTGTTTCAAAGATCGTGTCGGTGTTCTGAGAAGAGTTGGTGTTCATGTACGAAGTATTCTCTTTCGTATTCAATTTATTTCAATTGCGACAGAGATATTCGTTTGTCTTACAATTGAAATCAGTCATAATATCTTAAACTTATATTTTGTCTCAGTGCAGCTCGTGAGTCACTCGTTGGTCTCGGGAAAACTCTAAAACATCTGTTGGCTACCTGCAGGGGCTTTTATTTTTACTTGGCTCGTTTTTGTCCGTATCAAAAACGCCTGCAGTTCGTTAAATTTACACACGCAATCTTCCTGGCTCAGACATTATATCCTCTTCAAGTCTTCGCGATTCTTTGCTAGACCAAACAATAAAAGATATTTCGTTTCAAATAGGATATTTTTTCATTGGTGCAACAGCGGAAAAGTCAAGAACAACGTTGCTCTACTATAGAAGTCTTCACACCCAGAGCTGTATTGAAGATTCTAGACAATTTCAAAGCTTCGATGTGTAAATTTTATTCTGTACTCTCCGCTGTCCGTGAACGAGTTGAATTTTAAATAAATAAATGTGCACTCCATATTTTTCCGACCGTAATGTGACAGTAAAGATTTAAAGATAGTATTTGATAGTGATTTATGTCTAGGAGAATTGAATTGATGGAAATAAATTTCTAGTTATATTTCGGAAATGATTTTATGCATGACCGCTAATATTTTTGACATTGGCCTTGGAGGTTTCGATTCACAACACCCGTAAACCAACCAGTCTTGCCATTAACCATTAAAGCCATTAGTCTTGCACACCCGGTGAAGATAGTGATGGTAGAGAGTTCTGAACTATAATGAATTACTTGATAACACATGCACGTATTATGTGTCAACCTCCATATTAGCTTCATTGTCTACTAATGCTCAGATATCTCAACAAATTATTGTGTCCGTGCTTATAGTGATTCTCCGTTTCCTCTATTTTCTTTATTGCAAACTTTACTAGTGATAAACACGTGGCTAATTGTTCGATTACGTCCACGTAAGTACTTAACTCACGAGGTCGTACAATGTTGAAACCAATCCTTCTATTCATATTCTGACAATAAAACATCTACATGCCATTAAAACAAGATAAAATGTGTTTATTTATGTCACTGAAAAACTATTTTTTATTAACTTCAGTAGGCGAATGCTAACGCTTGCAGAGCTAGACGGTGCACTAGAAGAATTCAACGAATTAGGCAACATTCACTGTAAGAAAATATTAAGCTTTGAAAAGGATTATATTGTTGGCCCGCTCTATTCGTGTTTCGATAAGTTTTTCGCGTTTCATAGTTACAAAATCACTAAATTATTATTCCTGATCACATGTTACATTTTTGTACACTCTCATTCCCGTTCATGCTCTGAACAAACGAGGTCTTCGTTTACTGTAGTTGGTCCAGGTTATCAATTTTCACGCGAAGCCAGGGGCCAATGGCTAGTTAAATATTATGAACTATATCCGTAGATTTCGTTCGAATGCATGTATGTGCCGCAGATGTGTTATATGAATGCACACTTTGAATGGCCATGACTTTGCAATTTGTCGTTTTGTGTGGCAAGATCCAGGAATGTGTCTTGTAGTTCTGTACTGTATGATAGCGATAAACATGCTTCCTTATTAGAGTTAGTAAGTTCAACATCTTCTAATATAGAGAGTACATTTATTTTGCTTGCTTCCTTGCGGTTGTTGCCTTGCGCTGGTGTCACAATTCATCATGTGTCGCGTGTTAATCACTATTTGAGTGAGTGACGTCACGCGTGACGCTTGTCTCTGATATATTTGACCGACTTAAGTTGGTCTCTTTAGAAGAGCATGCCAGCACTTCGCTATAGTCAATTGTGAGTATTGATATGAAATATTATGTTGGGCCAGAGTAAGTCCTATTGAATATTTCATAATTGGAATTATTACCTAGTCTTACCGGCATAATGTTTTTATGCTTACCCGTATTCGTACAAACTTTCGGAAGCGTTTGTGTTACCTGAAGGGATCGCGCACCCAAAGCGCACGCATCACGATAAGTCTTGACCGAAAGCTCGTTTTATCAGCCTTTTGTTACAGTGACAACTAACATGCTTGTGTTGGCAGCATTCATTTATTGAGAATTACTTTCAATTACACATAATTATTTTCTGATTATTAATGAAAAATTATTGAAGACGTTGTGACGTAAGGTCTCAATTTGTTCCATGACTACTACAGCAAACGATCGATGTAGTGATGCCGATATATGATCCAACAAGTTAAAAAATGTTGGCTTGTACCTTTTTGTGCAAAAGAATAAATAGCGAAATATCGTAGATGTAAAAGAACGGAGTAATTTTCCTGCAATGCCGCGCTTTAGATTAATAGGTTTATATTTTTGCTCTGTGGAAAAGTTACGAAAAAATGTAGCCTTTTCTGACTTATGTCAGAGATTTTGTAAATAAACTTATATTGCGATGAGATAATAAAAAAAGACGAAACAAATGATGCCTCAAGAACGCTCTTCAAAAGCGCGATTTGTTATTGATCTTTCGTAATGGGAACTCTTGAAAGTAAAGGCTTGCCTTAAAATAAATTACGAACTCGCTTGGCCAACATAGTTTCAGTACCTGGACATGAATCACTATCACTCCATGATGTCTGGTCAGTACTCGTGCGTTTTTATTAGCTTAGTATCATTATATGTGTTGATAGGCAAGTAGTGAAAAACTATTACAGACCGAAGGCCTTGAATATTCGGCTAACTGTTGGCCACAGAATTGATTAGGTTCTCTCTCGGCCGAGAGAGGCTGAAGGGTGTATCTTTATTAGGTATTTCTCTGTAGTCAGAAGTAATGTACAAATAACGCTGACACTGCACGACGCAATAAATAAATAGGTTTAAAATTTTGAATGGGAATAGTGAGAAAAATGAAATAAAAATTGAGAGAGGTTTCGTATGACAGTTACTGGAAGATTTGTGTTGTTACAACCAAATTAAAAACACTATCGTTCAGAATAATAAATTTCCGTTACAGGCGCAGTTGTTTTGAATTTATAATTTTAAAGAAAGGACTAGACAATTTTTTAATGAAAAAGGGTATAATTCCGAGGCATTGGATGTCAGTGCGAACGCGACGGATGAGACTTGGCACCACAACAAAGCTCGTGGGGAATTGTTTCTCCTCAGCGACTGGTCCATAAGTCTGTGCTCGCTGTCATATTATGTCCACCACGTCGTAAACTTGCTAGGGTCACTTCACACAACCACGTTCCGCTCAACAAAACGGGATTTTCCCTAGAATGTCCTTTATATTTTAATAATATTTCTAAAATTTACCTATAAGTATAATCTAAACGGTAAATTTAAAATGTCCTTTAAGTAAAATTTAAAAGGAAGAAAGTTACGCCTATGCGCGTCGAGTAACCTGTACATATCTGTTGAAGTCAGCTTTACCATAAAGCGATGTATGCGTAACAACATTTCGCATCTCGGTTGCTACATTGACGGTACCTACCATGAGAGTTTCACGAACCGATTGCTTAAGGTGCGACCACATCGTAATTTCATAATGATAGCGTGCAGTTACTATGCGAATCGTAACTTCACGGTAATTTATATCAATGTTTTTAGATATCTTATAAAATTTAAATTACATTGAAATGACTCATTACTACAGACTGCACGGAAAATGCATCACTACGAATGAAGTTAGTTTGACGAGTAATAACTAAACCTACTTGTACAATGAACATTTTAATTTTTCGTGGACTAAATACATTATTATATTTTATGCTACTCGCGCTCTAATTTATGGATTTGCTTCGAAACAAATCGTGACGCATTCATTACATCAATTTAAACATCCATTCTAAAATAATTTATTTAATTTCCTAGTTGAGAACAAATTGGGATTGGTGCCTTACACATGCACACAGGAGGCCACGAATAATTCAAAGAGTAAAAAGTAAGACAAGAAGACAACTACTCGTGGTCGCGGCCTTGGCTATAACAGACGAGCCGTAAAAAAACTTCTGTCAAACAGAATTGCTTCGCCCTGCGCCTGTCAAGTGTGTGCCCCCTTCCCCTGCCAGCAATACTCGACTGTCCAAATGTTTTTGCTGCCTTAATGATGATTCACGTCATCTAAGATGATGTCTGGGGTTCATATAATTTTCTCATTTCAGTTTGTTGTAAAATCAAATGCGTTATTGCTGAATTCATACTACAATGAAGAAGTTAATCAATTTGTAATAAAAATATATGACTAATTCGTTGCCATTTTTCAGAGCTTAATCAGCAATCATAAAAATAGTCGACATTATTAGCCGAAGCGTAGTAAGCTGCAATTGCGCTTAGCATTATTTTTGTTTTACCATTCAGATAAACACTCCTATCAAATTCAACAGGTAAACACTTCTCTTCCGATGAAAGTCAACGGTAAACGTGGAGCATTCGCTTTCACGAGCATATTAATAAATACCCGAGTTTCTCTTAAAGCAGGAACGAAATATGAACAAAATCATCGAAATTCAATTCCTCAGCATGAATCATCACCTCCTAACATGTTTAAATGGGATAAATTTATTAATATAGTTGCCTAAAAAAGACTTGACTCTGAAAGCCTAAACCTACATAACAAATTACATTCCATGTAATTACAAATGCAATAGTTTCTAACTTTTGAAAACGGAACAGAGACATATTGTGATTCGACTAAACTCATGACCGAGACACGCAGTGGTCGAAGGAAAATGCATGGGAGCAAATAGTGGCACCAGTCATATTTCCGTACTTACCGTTCTTTACATTCCCTTATTTACCAAAGCGACAGATATTTCTGCGGTAAATTGTGCTATGACTTTGAAGTAAAGCCAATGTATAATTCACCAGTTTATATTTTATTTCTGCGGTAAATTGTGCTATGACTTTGAAGGAAAGCCAATGTATAATTCACCAGTTTATATTTACATCAATACACACAGGACAGATTACAGTGACCAGATTCGTCCAATTTCATGCTCGAGGAAAACCTTTTTTTTCTTTATCAAGACTTGTTCGTCACGAAATCAGAATTGAATTCAAATACGAAAACTTTTTCACAAATATTAAATCACCCTATACGGAATTATAATTAATAGTATGTTACTTTAAATATCATTCAAATACGTACGTATCGCTTTTGTACGATTAACTAACAAAAAGAAAATAATAATGTTCGTACAAACTTGTCAGGAAGGGAATAAACTTAGATGTTAGAAATAAATTCACCACGGTAATGAGCACAATTATCTTAATCAATACATTTTAAAATATTTACACATAAAATAATTAAACAATTTTGTAACCGAAAATTGTAGATTATATTTAGCGAATAAAACGCCTTTCAAAGTCGACAGTAATTGACTACGATAGAATCCAACTTGAAACAAACATTATTTGTTACTACACACCGTCCCGTGCTCTAGTATATACCTAGTCTCAAGATACCTCTGACAACGATGGAAGTCTCCCCAATGATTTTTCAGAACAATTAGACGATTTGCTAGCAACAATACTCTGAACAGAAGAAAATTTATTCGTATAACATTTTCCTAAACTCATTCGAGTAGGTAATGAAAAATTAACAATCGTCAACAGGTGAGAAATTCGACTAGTCAAGTCTTCTTCATTCACTTGGGCCTCTGTAGAGAATCATTCCATTATCATTAACACTTCAGGTAAATTTCGATACTCATGAGCTGTGAACATTTGACCATCCATCTTCTACACTCTCTAATTAACGCTTTTATCACTGAAATGACTTGAAGCGACAAGTAAATATTCTTGACATTAATTTTCTAATATCCAAAATCAATAGCTTTTCAGAACAAAGGCAACAACGTACGTACTCGTTGAATTAACTTTGGCGCATGTACATTCCAGGTTAGTACAAAGTTGCTGAAATTTGACTGAATTCATAAGCTGCATTTATGGAAGCAACACACTTTCCTCTTTCAACACATTAGAGTGATAGCCTCAAGACAACGTTAGTATAACAATCTAATTATTGAGACTCACCCGAAATCCTTAATCTTACTTAAAAATACAATATTAGGTTCAATGCTAAACAGCCATGTGAAGGCACGGTGCGTCCGGGAGCAGCCGCTAGCAGCACCTGCACAGTACGGTTTAGTTAGCCTGCGTTTTTCGTCATATCAGCTACTCTATTGTTAGAACTTACTTTTATTAAATGAACATGCTCATCATGAATTCATTGTGCTTTTTCTGCCTTATGTATACCATCAATGGACGAGCGCGTTCATCATAGTCGTGGAAAAATGTGCTGGACATACGAAAACATCAGTAAATTGAACGCCGTGAAACAAACACTAAATATTATTGCTTATCCTTTCCTTTTTCCTTTCTTTTTTGATTGGGTTTTGTTATTCATTTTCAACACTAGACTGTACTCAATTTTGGGGAGACTGTCATAGGATACAATTTTGCCCAATGTATTAAATCCAACCTTTCTAAGTGTTGCACCGCTCAGAATGTTCGTCCCAAGCCGCCACCTGCAAATTGAATGAAAAACGTTAACGGATATTATTGGCATCTCCACTTGGGCTTTTATTTTAATCCAGAAGCTAAGAAACTGTACAGAACCGATATTACAGGGTCCGCCATATTTATGGCAACTGATGTTTTGCTATATAAAATAAATTGGTTTCTATGAGACTTTTCTTTTATAATGAAGCTTAATATCATCTATTAATTCATCTACCTATTTTATATTGCAGAAGTCTAAGATGTCTAAATTTACTATTACTTATGGGAGCAGATAGAAATGTAATTGCAAGGGCGAAAGTAATTCATTGCAAAAAAGCTCTATTTCGTCGTGAAACTGTGTAGAAGATGGTAAAAAATTCAAGGAAACTGGTGAAACATGCAATCGACCTGATCAAGGAAGGAAGTGACACTTCCTGATCAAGGAAGTGTCCGAACAAAACAATTGGTCAAAAACACGAGGGAGAAGTTGAGGAGAAACCGTCGTCGCTCAGCTGCAAAATTGGCTGCAGAAGCAGGAGTCAGTCAGACATCAATGAGTAGTCCTCAAAGATGACCTCAACACCTCCCCTTACAAGATGCAAACAAGGTATGAGCGAACAGACCGTCATGAACGAATGAGGCTCGAAAGATGCCAGCACATACTGGATCTCATTAAGGAAGGCACGCTACCCAACTTGGTGTTCAGTGACGAGAAAAATTTGACATTGAATTAAGCGTTATCCGTCAAAATGACAGAATTTGGAGTCGGGATGGATATGTGGCAACCAGAACAGCAACACGTCGTCAAAATCCCATGTTCGTGATGGTTTGGGCCGCGGTAACCGCCACTGGGCGGTCCCCACTCGTTTTTGTCCCCTCAGGAGTGAAATTGAATAGTCAGCGATACATTTCGGACATTTTGGAAGCTGTGTTGTTACTTTGGGCCCGTAAAGACTTCAACGGCTCACCATGGAGTTTTCAACAAGACTCTGCCCATCACATGGCTGGCTCAAACATGACCCAAAACTGGATTCAGGGTCACATCCCAGCGTTCATTAGCAAAAATAAATGGCCCTCAAGAAGCCCTGATTTGAATCCTTTCGACTTTTCTGTGTGGGCTATTTTAGAGAGTAGGGTCTGCAGAACACCTCATAATTCTTTGGATTGTTTGAGGTCTAAATTGACACGAGAATGGGACTTGATCCCTCAAGAAATGCTGCGTGTCTCCTGTGAAGCTTTCCCGAGTAGATTGGAGGCCGTCATTAATAATAAGGGTGGTCATATTGAATGAATATGTCTGAAAATTGTTTAGGTAATTATTGGCTACTAGCTCATCCAATAAAAAAACAACGCACCTGTTATTTTCATTGAGAAATAACAAAAAACATGCGTTGCCATAAATATGGCGGACCCTGTATTGGTAGACATGAGTACGTATACCAAATACGAGTTATCAGCGATGTAACTCCAACTACCCTTCTAGATCAGTTACTTCCAAGTCATCTTAACATGGGAGCATCCTCAAATATTGCTAAAGAATGATTAATGAACATTTCGCAATGCTAAGATCACGATAACATTTATGGTAAATTCCATTTCAATGGAACCAGAAGATGAGACCTAGGGGACCTTCACACAAAAAAAAAACATTTTGTAACTAACCTGACACTCGCGTGAACAATACCACTGGTTACCACACCCGGCACACACAAACTGGGCTCGCTCTTTATGGCATCCTTGACATTTGGGATTCGGGGTGTTAGGGTCCACCAATCCACCTTCGGTCTTCTTGTTCCGGTTCTCTCCAGACTGCACAACAAATCGCGTAATTTATACCGTTTGTACAAGCAGTAGCGAATGTGTTACGTATACCAGAGATGAAATTCACGTTTGGGACCATAGATTGTACAAACTGTATCAAATATGATAAAGTAAACGAGGAGGAAACTCACGATTGGGACCATAGATAGTAAATATTCATTGATGTAAATAGACAAGTTTTACAGATATTTGTACGCTTTAGCTGCGTTTCGGTTTAAAGGCTTTACACTTACTAAATGGCACGTACCACAATCGCGTTTTATATCAAGATCCGTACATAAACCTACATAATTTTATTCACCTGATGCGCAGACAGAGCATTAGCAGCAGCTGCAGCAGCGGCGGCGGCAGCAGCCTTCTCTCTGACGGTGGTCGTGGTGCCACCAGAAAGCAAAGCTGATAGCGTCAGGTACTGTGAGTTGCTCACACCACCGCCTCCGATCTGTTTACACTGTAGCCTTAAGATGTGTTTCTTGCGTACAATAAGCAAATAAAGTTCGTTAATACAGTGAATGTTTGCTTCTAAAGTATACGCCGCAATATGTTTGGGTTTTTCTGCTTCTTAATTACAAGCTTTCAGTTGAGATTCTAAAAACGTTTACGTATGTAGCGCTTAGAATGCTGGAGTTTCGGTGAGATCAAAATCATTTTTCAAATAACATTTTAATGACGTGTTTACAAGAGATAACTCTAATTCAGGTGCCACATCATGACATTAATATTGAATAACATGCGCAGTTTACAATCACGTGAATACAGTCACTTCTTCGCTTGATTTTATATGTGGAAGCATGCAATACTCGATAATGAGTGAGACGAATGCTCCTGACTTGTTTGATTAGGCGATTTGCTCTGCCAATAGGGTGCGCTCAGATCAGCTGAATTAGTCTATACAGCAGAACAAACCTGTTGCTGTTGTTGATGTTCAAGCAGAGCATTTTGTTTGGTGTTGCTGCGACTCTCCATCAGCAACTGAAAAAATGTAGCTTCAATAAATGATAAATTTTTCATGGAAAAACGATTTAGCAAGAATTTTCTTGAAAACACGATTCTTTCTATCAACAAGGATGTTTCCAGCTCATAAAAACAGGCACAAAAGTAGGTATTGGCATCTCAAAGTAAAAGGACATAGAAGGCTTGAAATGTAACAATAACTACGATAAACTCGGGAGTGTGGGCTGTTCGTTGGTTGCCCGCGCCAGTGAATATATGCGAGAAATCTGGCCATGACATGAACGCAGAAAAATACATTCCACCTAATAATTCCTATGTCTAAGCAAAGAAAATGTCTAATCATATTGTCTCATTTGGCGTAAGTTCTTCTTTAAAAAATAATTTTAAATTAAAACGATGAAAAAAATTCACTTTAGCTAAAGCTGAAGTTCCTTCAAGCATGGACGAGTGGCTGTGTTTGTTGGATGTAGGAGTGACAGAAAGGCCCCCGCTGAGCGAGGAGGAATGGTTACTCCCCACGCCGTACGACTGCCCCGATGTGTTCCCACTCCCAGTATCGCTAACAGGGATGATTGATATCTGCGCAATAAAACTCATTAGTATTTATAAAATACATATATTTATACCCAAGTGATTTTATAAATTAACGAAATAACTTCGAATTAGACGTCTTTATGTGTCGAAAATACAATTATAGAAATTCAGCGAAGTAGAGCCAAAATATTTGAAAACTCTGCATGAATAGGCTTCATTCAATAATAGATTTCAGAACAACTGAATTTATATCGTTTGTAATTTCGTGTGTTGATCCAAATTACTTAATTCCGTGTATTGATCCAAAGAATGACAGCACACGGCTCCAACAACAGTGCCTCTACCTGTGGTGATCCTGGTCCGTTCTTCTCGGCGTTTTGCTGCTGCGTTAGTTGGGCGAACTGCAGCAGCACGTCGTTGTAGCTGACGGTGGGATCACTGAGTGTCAGGGACGACGACCTGTCGTTGCCGTCGCCACGAATGCCACGCTTGCTTCCTCCGTTGTCATACTTATGTCGCCATGCGCCGCGCTTCGCTCCTCTGCAAATAAGGTAAAGGAGTCGTCGTAAACGTGTTTAAACAAATTTAACAGCACAAATATAAGATATAACTGTAGGAATGATCAGCAAAAATAGCCTAATAGAATTCCGGTACAAAATAACGACGTGCGACGGTTGGCTACAGCATATCTTGTAGCATCTATTCAGCTGAACACATTTACGTCGTTAACGTGTGTTTAATTCATGATACGAATTAAACGCCTTATCATGCGCCTCTCCACACAATAGAAGATTATCGACACAATAATGTTTATGATCTCCACAGACAATAGTTACCTAACGGGTGGAGTCGCGGGATTATCCTTGCGGTGCGCGTCGATGAGTTGCTGCACTGAAATAGTGGGACCTTGAGGACCGTAACCCGTGGCCTGCAGACTTCCCGAGTTGCCCAACATTCCTGAGTTACCAGACATGTCACGACCACCGGGGGCCAGGAGGGAGCCGTTGGGTCCAGCACTGAGCATGCTCGCTAAGGTCTGCGGGGCAGGATTTTGACCCGCCAGTGAAGACAATATTCCTGATCCATTACTGCCAGCCACGTGATGAGGCTTAGGTAGAATGGGTTTAGTAGCACCCGCTGCATTCAGAAGTTGTCGGGTCAGTTTATTTCTGAGATTTTCGGGCAGGTTGGCGTTAGAGAATCGATTTGTGGAGTGTGAGTTTGTTAAAGAGCTGGAGAGAGAAGAGGCAATATCTGGATGCATACTAACAGTCGGAGATGACGTCCGCGTGTGAATGTCAATGATGCTTACACTAGGCGAAGAAGTATTGCTACGAGAGCTGCCTTGCTGATCGTTGCCAGAATGTGAATTATTCTGGAAAATAATTTGCCAAATTAGAAACGGAAGTATGAATTGTAAAACAATGATTCTAAACAATCGACATGTCATGAAAATCGGTCTGTAGTGCATTTTTAGCCACCTCAACTTAGTTAACCCTAATTACATCATACAACTTACATTAGGCCGAATTGAGTTCGACAAAAGTCGGCTCATCATAGCAATAGGATTTGTCGAGTCATATGAATTTGTGTGCGATGTCAACGAAGAAGCACCACTGGTAAGGGCAGCCAAGAGGCCGCTCGGTGAGGCGTCTTTGTTGATTTTGTGTCCACCTGGAGAAAACGTGGAAGGCAAATCGCCCGTGCCTCCCTGAAAACGCAGAACCTCACTTTTGCGCCGTAGTCGGGCGGCTAGTTCCTCCTTTTCTTTGAGGCTTCTTAGTAAACCATTCCATTCCTCCTCCTTTATCCGCACCTGCTTCTCCAAAACCTGAAAAATATTTAACCTTATCTATGTATACATGTCTAAGTTAGTGTGTTTGTTTGCACCGTTGGCGCGCATCCAGGATATCATGTCAAATATGACTCAGAACCTGAAAAATTATTTTTTGTGAGAGAAAAGGCATTGCAAAACTTAGGAAAATGATTGAAATAAGCAAATTTTTCTAAACCGATTTTTTTAATCAGGCCAAAGGCGAGTTTGGTGTCACACCGGTATGTAAAATTTGCTATGCACGGATGCTTCTTGAATCAGCACACATTGTTTTTATTATTGATAGCGGGATTCGGGATAAAGGTATTCTAAATTGTAAGAATTATCGACCCTGGGCAACGCCGGGCTAACCTGCTAGAATGGTACCGTAATGCTAGAATAATAAAAAAATGTATCTCACACTCGCAAATTTTTCCCAGTGACGAATTTTAGCCATGAATATAATGTCAAACGGAACTAATAACTCACCTCAATCTCTTTGTTGACCTGTGCTAGTAGCAAGTCGACTTGAACGCTGCTGTTCGATGCCGAATTCTGTGAAATTTTATTCTCCTTCCGATCGTCGCAAGTCAAATTGATAACCTCAGCAGAAACTTCTTTAAGCCGGGCTTTCTTTTTAGGATGTTGATCGTCTTCGGTTTCTTCGTTTGAAGTGTCCGATGAACGTTTAACTGCTTCTGAAAGAAAAAGCTTAATATAACCATGCTTCACAATTCATTAAATAGTAAAATGGCATGAGGTCAGGTGTTAATTTAGTTGTCTCAATATAAGAGACTAATCCACTCAAACAATGGATGTCGTGGCACGAAATCGACACATAATTCTTATGCATTCTCCCATCTTACTTTATAATGCGTGGGTATAGAACTCATGAGTCCTAGTGTGACAGTGGAGCTGGAAAATAAGTTCTTTCCGATGTCATACGTACATAATAAAATGAAATATACCTTAGCCCAACTTGCTGTTGAGCTGTTTGGGGACGGCTGGATAGCATGCAAACTTGAATAGGTAAAATTTTTCATTCTAAATTGAAACCAACTTACCATACATGCCAACTTTCTTCTTGTCGTCGTCCTCATCAGGCTTGCGCTCTGAACTCCCTTCGTGTATGACGAGCTTGTCTTCATCTTCACTGAAGTCTTTGTCTTCACTATCTTCCTTACAAAGCGTGTCTGGAGAGACCGGTACGTGGTTCGCTGCCTCGGCCTCAGCACTCTGTTCATCAGCTGATAATCCGACAACATCAATGTAGCTCGCGCGTCTAGAAGATAAGCCGCTCTTGGGCTCATCTTTGGGAACATCTGATGGAGTAGCTGGGGAAGTATTTATCACAGGGTCTTTCGCATCGTCAGCGACATCGTCGACAACGATGTTTTCTGGGCCGTTTTGTACGGAGGTATTTTTGTAGGGTGGTATCGCACTGTCAACATTAGATACTAATCTCGCTTGAGGTATTTTCAAGAAAACATTTGGAGAATCTTCATTTAAAGTATTTTTATCTTCTACATTATTCTCCGATAAATTATTCAGGTTTTCAACATCGCCCGTCTCATCTGGCACCGCAATTTCTAAATTTTCGGACTCAGATTCAGATTCACTGGCATTTTTTCCGGGCACTTCTTCGAGATTTTGCTCGACTGTCTCTGCGTGCTGAATATTCTGTTCCTCGTTATCATGGCTACTGGCGTTGCCGCTGCCGCTCGAGCCTTCGTCACCCAACGCGGACAGCGCTTGAGGCGGAACGTTTTCATCTCCTTCCTGTGTTTGGTTGCGTTCATTCTCGACGTTCTGGATAACAACTGAGTCAACTTTCGGCTCGTCTGTGGAGTTTGTGTCTCTTGAGTCCATGTTACGAAGAACACACTCATCAGGCACCATACTGAAGAACACGCATCAACCTGCAAGATAAATAAAAATTAGATCGACGCACCAAAAAGAGGCCACAAGGCGGATGACTTATGCTGGAAAAATTTAGAATAGACATAAAATTCCGTGATAATTTTGTAGAAAACAATACTTTACGAAATATCTGGCATAATAAAATAACAAACGCATTAGGTGAAGAGATAAAAGCAGAAGCTGTCTTGCTACGGACTTGTATATGCCTACAGTATATAAAAGTCCTTGTATATGCCGAAAGTTGACTCAGTATAGTTCCAGAATTTTATATATAGTAATGAAATGAATGCTTAACAGCATACGACCTAAAGATTTATCCACATCATGACTAAGCAAATGAACTCGGTATTTTCCAAAGTGAAAACTACTGCGAAAAATTAGCAGCATTTGTTTTAGCGAATTAATCCAAGACAAAATTGAATCTATTACCTCAGTGGTAAACGAGCTAGATAAATCATAATTTTATACTTAGCGATAGAGCTAATACAAGTTTACTAGCATACATTTGAATTAAAAAACGCGCCAAGGAGAGGAACAAATTTGCAACGGTACCCAAAACGCGAGTCCATTTTCCAACAACCTTCGACACGGGGCCAGCGAACGACTGCACGTCCTCAACACAGCAGATGCACACTAAAATTTGAACAAAAAGTTAACAAAAAACTCGCCAGGAGTGAGGGAATGAAGCCATTTACGCAGCAGCTACGTCAACGGCGCGAGGCTGCGCAGCATCATTGGTAATGCCGTGAAGGTAAAATAAATATGTAGCGACTGATCTCAAGGTAACTATGAAGAGGTGCGAATTGAACCAACACAACGTCGGACAGAGACGCATGCAAAACACTGCCTACCCTCAAGTAGTCATTAAATTACGCATATTTAAACAAGTTACAATACGAAGCTTATTGTTCTGGGATGAGCTTGTTACATTCCATTTATTGTGCACACCGTCGCACAGGCAAAACGTAACGAGAGTGCGTGCAGAACACAATGTACCCTATATTGTTCATAAAAATAAAAAATAATCAAATATAGTAAAAATTACTCACAGTTTTAATTCAATATTCACGAGAACGAACTGAGTAAACTCTTAAACCGCCTGCAGCTGATGTTTTAGAATAAGGTACGTGGGTATGAAAGGGTTATATACACTGAAAATTTACGATTTCAATTACCAAAGTAATCAAAATCCTATCTTTATTCGTCAAAATTTGTGGGTGTGAAATTTTGCGCCTTAAATGTATAGCGGCTGTTCGTGATACTTATCATCGCGTATGGATATTAGGATATTACCTGCACCGGAAATTATATTCATAGTGGGGGATAGTGAGGCATTGCAAAACGTTGCGGGGCGAGTTGAAAAAAAAATATAATTCAGTACTCACTGCAGTGAGTGACAGAGAGCGCATTTTCTCGTCGACAAAAACTTAAGGTCACGGACAGACGGACGGACATGGCGAGCACAATAGTGCATTTTTTCCATAAATGAGAAAATGCGCTAAAAAGGATTATAAATTGCTACATATAAACGTAATTCAGAAGTCAATGGAAGTTCGATGCTCTATGTACATGTTAGTTTTTAACAGATGTTTCTTAATTTAATATACATTAGTTTCGTTTTCATTAATGAGATTTGAGGTGGTAATGGGATTTATGAAGCTGCAGGAATGATAAATCCCGAGCAACGCCGGTCAAACCTGCCCAGTAAAAATTCACAGACGCGGCAGCTTCTGATTTGGATTACCAGAAGCTGACGCGACTCTTTATTTTGTTAGGGTGCTAGAAGACCATAAATGAAAAAAAAAACATTATTCCGGATTACAATTAGTGAAAGAATTTCTCACAACCGCACCCTGAAGATACACAACAATGATACTAGTAGAGGCGCGCCGGATCCTGGTGTTCAGTTATGCATGCATGACTGGACTGCAGACTTCAGTGTATCAGTGATACCGTGGACCCGAGCATCAGGTGGGTTTCCGGTCAATGCTTGACCTTGAGCAGACCTTCACTCGATCAACGGACTCGGATTCCAACACCAGCGCATTGCGTCTGTGTTAAAAAAGTGCTTATTTTCGCGATCTACGAGCGAGGAGTTGAAATTTTGAAGATTTTGCGAATATAAAGCAAGGAATATGATAAATTATATCTGCCTATAAATGCCTCTTGTCGGACGGGAAGAAACAGAATATTGGCTAACATAATGAAGGCCACACGAGATAATATCTTTATAGTTTGAATGAAGTTGGTGAGTGTGGCGAGTCAATATAATAACAACGCTATAATTCAAAAGGGTGTAAAAATCTGAACACATGATTTGAAGCACTTTATCAGAAAGACCATGAAGACGAGGAAGTTCAGTTAGACCACCTGCAGGCATGCAGCCAATAGTTAAGTTGCTGAGGATTGTCTAATGATGAGGTTAGACATAACAAAAAATTTTGTTAGGCAAATAGGGCTCAATATGCTAATGTTTGGAAGCACGGAACAAAACAGTGATGCTGAATGTAGGCAACAGGACAGCTTCTATTCCTATTCAATATTGATGGAAAATAATTTCTGTTCTCAACTAGGAGCGCTTTAATTCAAAAAGTAACATCGTACATCTTGGTCTTGATAATCTTGGTACATCGTACATGCTACAATAACAACTACGAAGATGACAGCCTTCTGTGTCTTTTATATCATGAATATGTCGAATTCATAATAGACTAGCGTTAAATAAATGCATAATAGACCAGCATTACCAATTTTGTCATTGATATGATACCAATTGGGGGTAAAAATTGTATCTAGATCAGCTGAATAATCAAGGAAAGGCGAGTAAACGGAGATGCTGCTAGTCATACACCGAAAATAAATCGCATGCCATCCGCATGAGTGTGCAAGAGGCTGAGTAAGCACTTCACGGAAAAGCCGCCTCTCTCGTGCCCTCGTGGGTATTCACCATCTCAAGGCATGCTTGAGTGTCATGAACGTCGGGCGGCTATGCTGGCTATTTCCGCACTGAGAACATTTTTGTGAACTGTATAGTGTATAAGCAAGTGTTATTAAGAAAAATATGTTCTGGGTCAGCAAGTTATGACGCGCATTGCGTTAAAACTCGTGAATTTTAACAAGTCTGATTAATTTTTATTCATACACGAAGAGATAGGAGTGTGTAAATCGAAAAAATTAATATTTAAATGAAATTGATATGAAATATAACATCAAGTGATGCTCGATAAAATACACGATGACGAACAGTATAGGAGTGACGTCAGTCAAGCAACGTGGTCTAGGGATAATAATCGTGACGCAAATAGCGTGCTTGTCTATATATGATCTCGATGACGCAGCGGACGCGTCATTCAATTCTCTGACGCAGCGGACGCGTCATTCAATTCTCTGACGCGCATATTGTTTGTCCCACGGAGGACGTGAACGCGAAAGAGACCAGGGCACGCTTAAAACACGGTTCTTGGAAGTGAAAAATTCTTACTATAAACGTTTAGTAAATGAGCGTCTAAGATAGAAGGCATACACGAGGTGCAATCAAAGCGAGACATTAATTTCTAATTTTAACATTTATATTTTAAATTTCAGTATAAGCTTTATTATAAGTTTATTTTATTATTTTTTAATATTTGCCTATACATTCTGACATTTGAATCGTTCAGAGGGCGGAATTAAAACGAAAAAGAAATATGAAGAACATGCAAGAATTACAGCACCACTACTTTAATAAATACATCAAAATATCGTGATATACGTTCGTCAAAATAATAATCGTAAATATAAGTATAGGTAGGCGACTTGCACGATAGAAATTGTCACCAAATTACCACGACATAATTGTGAACTTCATGGAAGTGGATAACTTTAGCGTGGGGTTGCGAAAAGAAACAACTTCAATTGTAATACAGGGCAGGTAGAATCAAGGTTATTAATACCCTCATACTCTTTTGAAATTAAAGAAAACTCTGGAAACAACCATGGCCAGTAAAAGAAGATAATACGATAAGATGTTATAACGAGGGAAGTGGAGAGCGGTGAGAGCAAGGGAGCCATGAATGATGTCAAGGTCTGCAGCGCAGCTCTCTGAGTCAGTCCCAAGAAAGCATCAATAATTAGGCTTACAAAAGCACACAAGCAGCGTCTGCCTACGTGTTTGCCAATGTTTGCTTTAGAATAATTAAAACGAAGCTAGATACAATCAAAATATTAAGCAAAACTCAATCGAAACTTATGCATATTTGAACCATAAAAACATATTCGCAGGATAAACTTTTATGCAGGAAAAGTATAAGAAGATACTAACATATATGCTGCAAATTTCAAACAGTAATTGGAAAACAAAAATTTTCTAATTTGCATAATGCTTGTTTACAATTATCACAACCTTGAGAATTTAGGTGCGGAACAGACAGAGTAAGGTTTGTTTGGGTGTCGGAGCGATTACCAGAGTAGCATATGTCTGGTCTGGCATCACATATGATACCAGAGTAGCATATGTCTGGCATCACATATGATACCAGAGTAGCATATGTCTGGCATCACATATGATACCAGAGTAGCATATGTCTGGCATCACACATGTTACCAGAGATGCATATGTCTGGCATCACATATGATACCAGAGTAGCATATGTCTGGCATCACATATGATACCAGAGTAGCATATGTCTGGCATCACATATGCATATGTCTGCATGGCATCACACATGTTACCAGAGTAGCATATGTCTGCATGGCATCACACATGTTACCAGAGTAGCATATGTCTGGCATCACATATGCACAAAAGGAACAGTATCATTGCACAACCGCGCTAGAAGTCCAAGCACAAAATTCGCCAAAGATCCAACCAACCAAAATTTGTTTGTGAAAAAAAAAAACACAGAAGATGCATCATTTTGATTTTTCCATAATTAAAGCATTGAGAAAGAAATTACAATAATCTTTCATTCAAAACGTGTTGTACCGAATTATTTAAAATCATCACTAAATCAAAATCGAC